CAATTTATTTTGTAGTCTGGATAGTTTATCTTCCTGCTGTGTAGTTGTGGCTCATTGGTTCACACCACCTCTACAATGTGGGTATTTTTACTTTCAGTATTTCAGATTTGAATTTTACATTTTTAGAATCAAAATGAATTTCAAGTAGGTATTTACCTTCATTACCACCTACAGTTTTCATCAAAACTTTCAAACAAATCTCTCTCTTATGGTACGAAAGCATAGCTTATGTAAGATCCACTAACACACTTGCAATGAGACATAATGAAGGTAGGAGAGTGAAGTATTAGGTGTGATGTATATATATGTTATGCAAATACATAAAGTACAATCAGTAATTTTGAATCTCATGTTTTGTTCACAGCATCAGTTCAAATTCAATGAGGAAAGGTGTTTAGGATTTCAGGTGTAAATACCTGTTGGAAATTCATTTTAATTCTGAAAATGTAAAAATTTAGATGCATTTAATTAGTATTAAGTATTAAGTTTTTGAGGGGGTGCTTTGGTCATACCATAGATCACGTTAACCTATCTTTTTTCATTTCAGTGTGGTAAAACAATTTCATACACTAAGATTTTTTTTTACAATACATAAATTTCATAGTTGTTTTCAAAAGAAAATCACAATATTTCTAGTATTTCTTATTGAACATACTTTTTCAATTGCTTCCTCTACCATCAAAGCCATAATCTAATGTAGAAAAATGCACCTAATTATGTGTTGTATAAAAAATAAAATTGTGTAACGTACATGTTATGTAAATGAACACATCCAATTAAGAATAAAACAATTAACAAACAACTACCATGTAATCAGCTAAGAAAACTAAACATGCAAGATGGATAACCAAGCTCTAGTCAGCACATATGTGTGATTGTCATTATGCTTATGTCTGCCTTGTGCTTTTTTTATTAGTTTACTGGTTTTTTTATCATGTATAATTCACTATATATATATGCTTAATGATGCAATTTTTTTTCATTTGTATCAGAATATTAGATGACATCTTTAACAAGAAGTGTCATTGTAAAGTTCATTATATACCTTTTGCACTAAAACGTTTCACGTGTCTTTCTTAAAATAGAAATATTCCTTATGAGGCATAAGAACTTTCCAATGTCACACATAAAATCTTTATTTTAAACATTATGGTGATAAATGTTTTAGAAGCAATGATGATGTTGTTTGACTTACATTAAATTCAGGATGCACTTTGTGTCTCCACAAGCTCTCTTTTGTGCAAAGTATTTCATGTTTGCCACACTTCCCAAGATGTTGAAGTTATTAGACGTAATGTAAATGTCACAGTCTTGTAAACAATGACAAAGAATAGCTGATTGATTAGATACTGTATTTTGTGCATGCTCTTTGGTTCTTGAGATCAAATAATGAATTGTAGAGCCCACATAGCCAAAGTTATACCTTGGACATGTAAATTTGTAGATGACATAAATTTGAAATGGTTACTTATACAACATATCAGGTTAAAAACACTTAATTTATGGATAAATTTTGTCCTTCAAAATTGCTTTAATTTTTTTTCTCTAATTTTATTGAATGTTTACCAGTAAAGAATAGAATACAATAAACTATTTATTTAGTTTCAACATATTTATTGATTTTAGAAATGTACAAAGCTTTTAAATAATTCATAGTAATACTATAAATTAACTGTACAGAAAAACTATATTTTTGTTTAAAAAAAACCTTTATATTTTGTGCTTCTTCGTGGAATATGGAGAATGAACTAACCATATTATAGGCCAGATAAATTAAATTCAAAAGGTAAAACACTATCAAAATTAAAATATTGCCTAGTAGACAATGGTTTATGATAACACTTAGCCTCAAACCTTCTACCTAAATTAACTATCTTGTTATCTAAAAAGTTAAAATACTAATTGTTCATCTATTATAAATTCAATATTGTTGTGTGAACTGTACAAGTAATTTTGAAATTCCTGAATATCAAATTTATTCTTAAAAACCACAAAAGTATTGTCAACATAGCTTCTATAGAATAATGGTTTAAACCTACAATAGTTAAACTTTGTTTGCAATTGTAAAATTTCTATAATTTTTAAGTATGCATTTTTTTTTCTCAATAAGAACCTGCTTCAATTTCTCAGATTACAGAATTATCAGAAAGATTTTTTTCAGTAATTAATGTTTCTAAAATGATTTTGTAAAACACCAGTCTTTTTACACTATTTGTATTTAATACTGCTTCTTCACCCTGAAATCTCTGTAGATTCAGTACAGAATATAAGCTTATTTTTAGAAAAATGAGCTTCCAGGGATGAAATCATGTGGGAAATAAAATTTAGTCTGGTTTTCAGATGCATGTTTCATCTCGCAAATTATTCATAAATGCCAATTTTTTTCATCTTTTAAGTTGCCAAAAATTAATTTCAACATGTGACCATTTGAAAGCATGAATATTGAAGTAACTGCAGAGCACCATTCAGGCATTGTGGGAAAACCATTATATAATTTTAAAATTTAAGCAAAAATAATAATTATTCTAAAAAAATCACAATTAATTAACCCATAGATACCCAAATCCTCGCATTAATTTTACTTCCTAAACGTAATCCCACTTATAATCATATTAAAGTTTTACTACTGTTATTTCCCTGTTATCAATGTAGTCACACAATATTTGTTAATTTGACCAGCATGTGTACATTGGTGCTTATTTGCAGAGTGTGTAAAAATTGATATAAGAAACTGTTGAATATTATTTCATGAAACCATGAATAAAGCTAAAACATTTCAAAACAAAAATATGAATGTGATAAAATAGGCTGATATTAAAAATTAAGTAATAAAAAAGGTATTCCACATAAAACTAGTAAACTAGTTGATAAAAATAAAAGAATATGTAAATTCAAATATGATAGGTTGAACTGTACCTCTTTCATTACCTTGAGTTATATTTTCTTATTTGTGCCAAAAATTAAATTTTGTTTCAAAATTATTCATTTTATTACTTACTCCTCCATTTTTGGTCTGTTATCACATGCAAATCTCATTGTGTGAGAACATTATCTATATATGATCATGTCCTCTGTTAACATGATCTTTAGGTTCATAATCTTTGGTCACTGTAGTACTGTCTCCACTAGATGTTTACCTTGCACTTATACATCCTTATTTGGTCATATTTTCATGTAGTTTACATGTTACTTCAAGGCTTTGCCTGCACTGAAGTGTTATGATAGCAATATGTTTGACTCATATCTTCTTTTTTTATTTTCTTTTAACTCTTGCTGGCTTCTGCTTTTGTCAGTCTTACATGCACCTTTTTGATGTCAACCATACAATATTTTTACATGGATTATTATACTTGTAATTGGATAGAAGTTTGTAATAACAAATTAAACTTTTTTGCTTTAAGGGGTGTGTTGGCTTCTCACCAATGCTATATTGAGCATGCCAGTAAGAAAAGGATCACTGATGTTGGCTAATTTTTGTGTCCCTTAATCTTCCTTTGAGTGTCTTTACTCGTTATTAGGAATCAGAAACTCGGGAGATATTTGTTTCTTCTCCTACAAGATGGCTTAAGCTACTCATTACATTTGTATTTAAGCACCAGTTTGGTTCTCCAAAAGATTTTCTATATTTCTTATTAGATCCACCATTTTGCTGTGTTCTTGGCTGTATTTCTTAGAGTTCTAATACAAAGTTTCATTTGATCAGAGATGTGATAATCAATTCACAGTTTCATATAAGCATTATAGATCTTTACAACAGTAACTTTTTAGGATGCCTCTACATTGACTATTTTACTTCTAGGTTGCTTGTTACTCAGTAGCATGTGAACAGTATTTCCAATTCCTTTAGTACACTCTAAGAGCTAGTGGGGGATCTTCTTATGAGTTACTTCCCTTACTAATCATTTGGGATATTGCCCAAGTAAGTCTTAAAAAATGCTGTTTAACACAAGGCCCTTGTGTCATCATGGAGCCAGCAGTGATGTGTTTCAGCATTCTTGACATCACTCCACCCCCCATTCCCAATGGCCTAGTCATAACACTTAAAGCATATCCACTGATATTACTCCTTAACACATGGTTATGAACATTGTCATATTTCTTGATTAGTTTACAAATCCAGTGTCTTTTCATTCTCAAGGAAGATAAGCTCCTCTCTGCTTCCTATAGTCTTACCTTCATTTCTTTGATGGAATAATGTCCAGAGTTGACAGTATTGGCATAAGATTATATCTGAAGTTGGCTATGTAGTAGTAGTAAAATATTATTTAATGGAATACTTACTTCTAATGTTATATTCTAATATATATGTTATTATTGCCCTCCTTCATACACTGGTTAGTTTGAAAAAATATGACCTTATAAGTTTTTATAAATGCAAGATAGATACCAATAGAGAGCATGGTATATATGACTAAATATCCAGTTTTATGTGTTTTTTTTAAAGAATGGTTATTTGTACATCAGAACAAATTGCAAATAGTGAGCAATAACACAGAGAGAGAGAGAAGCTGGGAGACAAATAAAAAATGTTTTATTTCTCACTTAAATACACAGCTTAGGAGTACACTAAAAAAAATTTGCTGAAATTGTATTTCTGCACACAAATAGTAATATCGAAATAAAGAAAACACCTATCTTTGGAGCTGGAAAATTCTCTAGGGAAGCAGAAAGAATACTGAAGAAAATTTAAAATGCTTAAAAAAAATCATAATAGAAAAATTGCTGGAGTTTTAAATTTATGTCTGTCCCTTTGTACTTTCATCTATTGTGTTTGAAGTGAATATTTTGTGCAAAGAAAAAGATTAAGTCATAAAGGTATTTGTTTGTTTTTTCCACTTGTTGACTTTTTGCCAAAGTATGACCACTGTCTCTAAACTTAAGATTACGTAAACTGTATTTTCTTTTCTCTTTTGTTTTGGTCAGCGAAGTAAAATTCATAGATGCATTTTTAATTTAGACACTTAATGTTAATTTTTAATTTTATATTATTCTTGCTGTAGATGTTGCAGATGAATTGTTGTATATCAGCTGCTCTAATATTCTCTGTATGACTAATGAAAACGTATATATTCCATTGGAAATTGGTATTGTTGAATATTCCATAAGAAGAGGGATAATTAGAAGATTTCACAAGTTTATTAATCCAGGTATGTTGAAGTTGGTGAATATATGAAAAAAGTTTGCTGTTATTATGAATATCACAAAATAATTTGAAAATTGGAATATCAAAGACTTAAAAACAAACTTAAGAAATATTAAATAAGGTTTTCAAATTTATCATGTTTTGAAACAAATTTTTTGTGATCTGGAATCATGTTATACCAATTTACAAAAAAAATGTCTGCATTTTATGTTTACAGAATTTTGAAGATACATACTAAACAAGAATATTTAAGAAATTAAATATTCTTAATTAGATATTTATCAGTTGAAAGAGGATTCGAAATATGTATTGGTGATAGAACTTTTCATAAACCTAGTAATTGTTCAGTGTCTTTTCAATATACTATGTTAACATCTTTTAATGTGAAAATTAAAAAATAACCTTTAATTTTTCATTATAACCCAGGATTAACTCATCAATTATTTAGTGTTTTTAAAAAAGAACATACAATTTATTCTGTCTTCAAACCTATGAATAAGATTAATCAAATATTGGGTAATACCAAAGATAAACTAAATTTAAAGTTGCATATGATAAAAGATAGTGTATTTATTATCTTTCCTTACATAAGATTACATTTGCATGATAGAGCTTCTTTTTACATATGTTTCATGTTATGTGCACATTGCATATCAATGTTATCTAGTATAAAGTTCATTTCAATGTGGAACTGAATTGTAGCAGTTTTGCCAAATTTCTGCTCTTGGTTAGGAAACCCTTGTTCAGAGCATTTGTAGTTTGTATAAAATGTGAATGTGATTGATATCTTTACTAATTTCTGTTACTTAGACTTGGACAGGTATGATATTTTTGTATTGCATTCATTCCAATATTATGTCTGCTTTAACCCTTTCTCCCCGGGTATCTTTTACTAAGCAAGGAATAAAGTTTTGGTGTCTTTCATTCAAAATTTTATTAAATTACTTTTTGTTTATGTTACACCAATTAGTATAGCATAAACTCATAGCTAATAATCCATATTTTAATAGTATATAAGTTTTAAGTTCCTAATTCTACAAAGAAATATTAAAAAGTATCCTGAATTTCCCCTAGTGTGACACTTGTGGCATATTTTCTCTAGGTATCTTGTCTTCTCTATTTTATCCATCAACCCTTGAAAGAGTACAAAATTAAACATAAATTACTATCTATAGAAGCATCGCTGCTCAAATGAACCATAATTTTTATAGCCTTTAATTTTGTTCGGGTACAGAGTTATAAATAGAAAATCACACCTACCTGTCACATCCTGTCTTTCAGGGTTTGTTAATAGTTCTCTTTTATGTTTAGTTATATATAACTTATAACCAATAGAAAATCAAGGATTTCATCTATAAAATGATGCATTGTATAACATTGTGTCATGGACAGATAAGAATCAATTTCACTCAGAATACAAGCTTCATTCCCGTGAAGTTAACAACTAGCTTGGATGAATTTGTAACGCTCTTGTCGTATAGTTAGAAATCCAGAAAATTTTTGAGAGTTAGGGGAAATTGTCTGCTTTTTGCATGTTATTAGTCTATGTTCTTTGGTGTATTATTTAATTAAATAAAAATTATTTATTAGTATAAAATATGTAGACTTACATTTCATTGACAGTTGACAACAAGAAAAAGATTGTGCAGGTAATTTATTTTTTGTTTTTCATGGTTATTCTTTATTTATTATTATAAAAGTAACTAAAATGTAAAAATAGGGATCTTTTTAGGTTAGTTAAGTTTAGCTTAGATTAGGTAAAATATATATAATAATAATAATATGATAAAGATGTTTCATGAGGCACGCATGCAGGCAGCACATAGATAATGTAATTCGATAGCGTAACGTGAGCTGCACATGCCCTAGTGACTTACAACTTATTATGGTGTGGATTGTAGTTAGACACGATTCAAAGGGCAATAAAACAATAAAATTTAATTATAAATAGATGTATACTGTTACGAGATTAAAGCTACATAGCATAAACTAATGTAGTTTTATGTTACAATTTGTAGTCATTATAGAAAGCAAAAAAAAGGGTAATTTAGATTTATTTAGATTATTTTTTGGTTGCCAAGAGGTTGGTCAAAATGACTGATCCTGTTTTGAGTTAGGATAGAGAAAATAACAGATGAAATATAAAGTTTTACTGGAAAAAACGTTTGAAATGTATTTAGGAGGTTTTAGGGATTATACAAAGGAAATTTCAGATTTTTGAGATAAGGAAAAGTATTTTTAATCTTAACATGAAAATTACTCTGCACACAAACTATTCAAAACAAATACCCAATATATTCTTGGACAAATCTTTATTTTAGTTATTAAAAATACTTCAGAAAAAAGATGATTTTTTGTATGTGAAAGACTTATAATGTTAACTGAAAGACTGCCAAATTTTGTGAAGATATACACACTATATTGAAAGCTAGAATATTAAATCTATAAAGAGATCTATAAAATCTTAAAAGAGTACCAAGAGGTCATGTGGTCAGTCAAATCGACTGACCCTATGTTGAGAAAGTTAATAAAATAATTAAAAATTAATTGGAATCTATAATGCAAATGTGGAAATACACAGAAAGGGGTGAACTATAGCATCATAAGTATTTTCTGCATTAGTGAAACACTACAGTAAATAGAAGAACCAATCAGAAAACTTTAAATCAGAGAAAGTAGTTCTAACATCCTCTTCAATCTTCATTGTCTTCTATGTGTTGAAACTAGTTTCTCTAATTTCAAGTCTTCTGATTGTTTTTTAAATTTACTGTGGTTGTCACTAACTGTTACTTATTATTGTGTTATTTTATTATTTCTCACTGACAATTGGCAACATGTAGAATATTTGTATCCTGCAGTTTGACACTTCCTATGTATACTGATATGGGGCATGGTTTTTTAATAACTATATTTTAGCTTTCAACAGGTAAAACCAATGTTGACAAACAATGTAAATCACCCCACTCAGTTCATTTACATGCATATCAAACATTTAATTATCCAGTCTTACAAACTAAAGTACAAAGTTGTTAATCATTTAGTCTATAAATGTAAATGTAAATGACCATTTAATAGAGGTAGCTTTATACCTTTAAAAGTTTGGTCAAGATGAACAGTAAGGGTGGCTTGGCACTGATGTTCCAAAACATACATACCTCGCTGACAGTTATAGCTATTTTTCAATCTTCATCTTTGGCATGAACGAGGTCTGGTTAACCCCGTGCCAGGAAATTCATACCCACAGTTTTTTTTGTTGTTGTTGTTGTTCTTGAACTGCAAAAGAAAACCAACAAAATATTGGCAACAGAAAAAAAACAACACCAGACTACTGTCAAAATGCTTCAAAAAAATGTTAACCACAAAACATAATTCCTAGTGCCAGCACTATGTCAAAAAAAAAGGTTATATTGTTGACATACAGTGCTTATATACAGTACCTGCATAGAGGGAGTGTAAGGGTCAGTGTAAAGTTTTGCAAATTAGATATTGTCGAGGGCAGTCAAATAGAGATTAAAGACTGGAGCAAGTGAACACAATGTTTGGATGGCAAAGATGAAGATTGAGAAATAGCTATAAGTGTCAGTGGAGGTAAGTATGTTTGGAAATACATTTTCAGATTAGGAAAATGATAACTTTCATGCTTAAAATCAGTGCAATCAGATTCTGGGGTATCCTTGACCATTCTTTTGAAAAAGCTGTTTCCATGAAGTAACAGGGTTCATTGTTTCTACTAACAGCATCACATGCATGCTCGATAGGATTGAATTCCAGTGAGTGTGCAAACTATGCTACCGAGTCACTCTCCTCTTTTTCAAGGAACATGTGGACCAGTTTAGCATAATGGGGAAAGGCTTCATTATCCATTAGACTGAAGTAAGGGTTAGTTGCACCAGTACATAACAACATGAGTTGTAGGATGTTCATTACCAGTTGTTTGCATTTCAATTTACAGACAATTAGATGCCTGATTTGCATAACAGTAAACTGGGATGGATGTGATTGGTGTTATTTTAAAACAGTGTGTTTTGTCAATAACAGAGCTAATATATTATAAATTCTGATGATCCTCTATTTTATTTGAGCAGTATACAATGAAATGAATAACTTAACAGTAGTTGGAAACAACAAGTGTAAGTGTTTAATAAAACTTAGGATTAAAGAAACTGTTTTATTGTTACATCTTTTCATAGGAAAAAATTACACTGATAAAATTTAAAATCAAAACATTTAGAAATATGTTCTAATTGAATTATTTTTACTTAATTGTTTAATTACATATTTAGTTTTTTTTCAAGGTACCATACCTACAGGGTATACAGGGAAAGCCAAAGAACATAGTAAGTTTGAAATTATATTAATTTTTTTATAAATTTATTATCAAATGCTTGTGAAATAATCATTTAAAAAAATTCAGAACCATAAAAAACAAGGATTACAGTAACTTTTTAATTAGACTCAACTTAAATATAACTGCCAGTGATTATCACAAAAAATTTCTTAGTTATACAAAAATTATACTGCAGTAGGTAGAATGCTTTGTTAATGAGTTCCATGTATTAGTTTAAACTACTAATCTGGTGGATCAGGTTTATAAATTTAAAATCTTTAAAAAGAGAGCTGAAAATAAACTGTTGTAGGCTGAGTTATAAAGTTAGATGTTTGGCTAGGGGGGAGGTTTAATGTCTGGAACTAGTTAAGGGACCCTGTAGAAGTTGTAAGTAGAGAAGTAAAATTATTTCATTATTATCAAGTAGACTGGACTTTTGGTTCTTTTCACTAAATAATCTGAAGAACCTGTCCAACAACAGAAACCATTACAACAATGGTAATCTGAGATAGCTGTAACTTCATAGATGTAAAACATTGAAAAACAGATTTCATTTATATTTCACTATTTATTTTTGCTGCAATTGGATGTATAAAATTGGATCTGGCACTCCTCTTTTTGCAGTTGTTTAGATTGCAATATGAAATATTTAAGCTTGCATTAGGTAACAAAATCTATGCGGGGTTTCATGTGTAAGCTGTACTGCTCCAAGCTATCTAGGTAAGTTGTAAAGGACTTTCATTCAGCAGAGCTACATACATTTTTGGTGACTTTTTTTTGAAGCATAAATGTATTTAAACACTTATCTTTGAGTTTTATTTTAAACTGTACATGTACAGTACTTATCACTCTGACTGGACTGTTTTGAATTTGGTATAACTCAATCTTAAAATTGTTGTTATACAGGTTTAGTTACCTGTTTAGTGTTGGTTTTCTTGTGGAATTTATCATTATTATTTCATACAAAAACTACTATTTTTACATGAGTATAATATGTAACACAAGAATTCTAAGTTTATTCTAATAATTTTGTATATTGTGTTTTATGTATTTAATTTTTTTTAACAGGTGAACAATATCATCAGATTCCTATATTTAACTTTAATCAAGGGGATGAAAATTATCTTGGAACTTATCTTCAAATAAAAAAATTTGTTAATCCAGATGAATTGGATCCTTGCCCTCCATTATTTTGTCCTTCAGATCAACTTTCTCAAACGAAAGGATGTTTAAAGTGGCTGCATGAGCAAGCATGTGAGATTGAAATTTATATTCTTTCTGTGTTAGCTAAGCTGTTATTAAATTATTATATATGTTATTGAATTAATATGTAGATTAAATTCTTGGCTACCAATCCCATCTATTTTATTTTTTGTCATGTTTGTTTAATTTTTTGATTATCATGCCTGTTCCTCACTAAATGCTTTATTTCTTTTAATTTCTTATAAAATTGAAAGAAAGAAAGAAATAATATGCTAGCAGTATCTTAATTTGATATAATCATTTTGATCTGAATGTATGCCTAATTTACTTTATTTTTCTTTGTCTAATGTTATTGATTAGTTTATTGAGAGTTCTAGTTTAACCCTACATGTATCCTTATACATAATATTTATGTGTTTTTGTCATAATAAGTGTCAGTGTATTTGTCTTTATTAGGCTGTTGAATGAGTAACATTTTTGTTACTGAGATGAATTATAAAACAAAAATGAATTAAGGCATATTTTTATATTTACTAGAAGGATTTTTTTTACCATTTCAAGGATGACAATAATAAATGAAAATTATTGTGGAAACTGAGCAACACTTATTAAATAAAATAAAACAAAAAACTCTAAAACAGAGTAAAGATACTTTTTTTTATGAGAACTAATAATAAAGGAGTAATTTTAGGACATATTATATTTGTGTAATCTCCTTTTAATACATTTGGTCATACTTAATAAACTTCTGGAAGTATCATGCTTTGCATTTGCTATTAACATTTTTTCAGCAAATTATACCAATTTCATTCTTGTGCTTGTTTAGTTCCTAAATTCATAAGTATAGTATAATCCAATAAATATGGTAACAATGACTGAAAAACAATGATTCTGAAGCTCAATATGTTATATTTTTCTATTTATAGATGAACGAGGTCATCAAACACTAGCATGTTGGGATTTAACAGTCTTGTTGTTAGAATTGCGATTGAAGGTCAACCAACCAATTCCCAAAGTAGTGGCAGAAGATTACTTAACTAAAACAACATTTGATTATATTCCAAAAACAAGGTATGTTGTAAGTGGTGCTATTAACTCCTTCCTTTTAGCATTGGTCCATGTGACCAACCTTGTAACCATAAATTTCCATACTATAACTTTTAACCCTCATGCCACAGCCATCTTTTTCTGTGTATGTCACAAGGTTTTAGTGAGTTACATTCAAAATTTAATTAATTTTTTTTATCATGATACATGAATAAATTGGACAGAAGAATGTAGCTAACAACCCAAATATAATAGTATATAAGTTTTATGAAGCAATATTTAAAAAACCTGAATTTCCTCTAGTAGGAGAATTATGACATTTTCTTTCTTGGCAACCCCTCTTCTCTAATTTATTTACCACCCCTTCAAGAAGTACGAAATTTAATGTAAAAATTACTTGTTATAATGTCATCATTGCTGAAGTAAAGCATAATTTTCATAACTTCAATCTTATTTAGTTACAGAGCCATCAAATAGAAAATCAGACTCCTTGTGCCACACCCACTTTTCACATTCTCTTTTTCAGAAATTGACAATAGTTCTCTCTGACTTTTAATACTATATTATTTATAACCAATAGAAAGCCAAGGTTTTAATCTATCAAACCATACAGAGAGTTATCAATTTCACTTTCAGTTCAAGCTTTATTCCCACAGAAAACACATCAACAAGCTTAACTGAATTTTTAATGGCTCTTGTCACATATTTAGAAAGCCAGAAAAATTGTGATAGTTAGGCAAAATTGTTGATTTTCTGCATATTATTATTATTCTAAGTTCTTTGGTGCATTATTTAATGAAGTAAAAAATTATTTTGTACGATAATACCATTAGTATAAAAAATAGATTTAAATGTCATCGACAGTTGACAGCAAAACAAGAAGACCCAGGTAAGTACTTTATTTCTTGTTTTTCATATGTATTCTTTATTTATTATTATGAAAGTAACTAAAATGGAAAAATTTGGAAACTTTTATATTAGATTAGGTATAATAAAACATTTTCACAAGGAACACTTGTGAGCAGATCGTGTGTTATGTAATTTCATAGCATAACATGAGGTACACATTCGCCATGTGATTAATAACATGTGGCATAAATGTTTGTTAGACATGGTTCAAATGGCAATAAAACAATAAAATTTATGTATAAACAGATTTATACTCTTACAAGTTTAAAGCTATTTAGGACAAACAAATGTAGTTCATTGTTACAATTTAAAGTCATTCTAGAAAGAAAGAGAAGGGTAATTTAGATTTATTTAGATTTTTTTTTTGCAGGGGGTTATGAGGTCGGTCAAATTGACCAATCTTGTATAGAGGTAAAGTAGTGAAAATAACAGGTAAAATATAAAGTTTTACTGAAAAAAAACGTTTGAAATTTATTTAATAGGTTTAAAGATTATGCAACTGAAATTCAAAGTTTTTCTGACAATTATAAGTATTTTTAATCTTAACACGAAAATCATTTTGCACTTGGACTAGTAATAAAATCATTAGTAAAAAATACTTAATTAAAGAATCTGATTTTTTTGTGTATGAAAGATTTGTAATGCTTACTGAAAGTCTGCCAAATTTTGAGAAGATACACATCTTGTATTAAAAGGTATAATGTGAAAACTAATGATTACTCCGTGGTTTCAACCTTGATCAATTCAACTGATCCTGTACCTGTAGAGTTAATATGTCATCAGTATCTTCATGAAATTTGGAAAGCTCTTAGTAAACATTAGAAGTCTCATGTACAAAAAACTTTAATTTTTTTTAAGTTTCTTTAATTAAGTCTTTTTACTAAAGATTTATCTGTGAATATATGGAGTTAGAATGTTGTCTGTGCAAAATAATTTTTCAAGTTTTATTTGCCTAATCTCTGTGACATCCTAAATAAATATCAAATATTTTTTTCAGTAAAACTTATTATCTGTTATTTTTTCTACTCTAACTCTATAGGGACGTGGTAATTTTGACAGACTTTGTAACTACCATAAAAAAATATGAAATAAATCTAAGTTACCTTTTTCTTTCTAGAATGATTGCAAATTGTAACAGGAAACTACATTGTTTACCCTAAATAGCTTAAAGCTCTTTGTAATTGGTTTTATTGCCCAATGAAATGTGTCAAAGTAATTATCCTGCCACACAAGTTGTAAATCACTCAGAGAATATGTAGCTCACATTACCATATTGAATGATGTAACACATGAGCATACCTCATGAAGAATTTTTATTATTGTTACGTTTTCATTATCTGACCTAATCTAACCTAACAAGTTTCTAATTTTTACATCTTAGTTACTTTTATAATAATAAATAAAGAATATGCATGAAAAACAAGAACCTATTGTTTTTTGTTATTGGTTGCTGATGAAAGTTAATTCTACTTTTTTTTCTTTCTGATGATACTAGTACACTAAATAATTTTTATTTCCTTAAATAATGCACCTAAAAACACAGAATAATAACATACACAAAGTAAACAATGTCGTATAACTATTATAATTTAACTGGTTTCTAACTACGACATAAGAGCTTTTAACTCTTTTGCTAAGGGTTCAGCTGATTCTATTTAATTCTTGACTGCAAATTGACCTTTAGAGTTTCCATACAATGACTTTTAATATGTTTTATCTGTGTTCACAAAATTTTACAAGCTTTTAGTAAGCTTTACAAGTCTTTTATACACAAAAAATTGGAATCTTTGATAAAGTATTTTAACTAAATATTTTTCTGTGAATATATGGACTCAAAGTATAGACTGCCCCAAGTGCAAAGTGATTTGTATGTTAAGATTAAAAATACTTCATTTGAAAATTGTTGAATTATATTTGCATAATCTATAAAATTTAAATAAATTTCAGATGTTTTCTTTTTAGTAAAACTTTATATTTTATCTATTTTCTCTACCTACCTTCTGACAGGGTCAGTCAATTTCACCAACCTCCTAACCACCATAAAAAAAGAGAATGTAAATTACCCTTTTTCTGGAATGACTTCTATTTGTAACAGGAAACTAAACTTATTTATCCTAAATATCTTAAAGCCAGTAACAGCATACATATGTTTCTACTTAAATTTTATTGTTTTATTTGCCCTTGGAACTCTGTCTAACTAATAATTGTGCCACAAGTTGTAAATAACTTGGCAAACATGTAGCTCATATTACCCTATCAAATTATGTCATGCATGAGCTACTTGCAAGTGTACCTCAGGAAAATATTTTATTAATATTATTAAGTTTCATTATCTTACCTAATGTAACCTCATCTAACCAGTACGTTTCTGATTTTTAAATTTCAGTTAATTTTATAATAATAAATATGGAATACACAAGTAAAAAATATATATATAATACTTTTGTGGATATTTTATTAAATTTTTTTCCTGTTGACTGTTAATGAAACATAACCCTACTTTTCTATACTAATCGTACTACTACACTAAATAATTATTTATTTGTTTAAGTAATGCCCCTAAGAACACAGAATAATAAAATGTAAAAAACAGACAATGTTGTATAATTATCATAATTTGTTTGGCTTTCTAACTATGGGATAAATGCCATTAAAAATTCAGTTAAGATAGTCAGTGTGTTTCCCATGGAAATATAGTTTTGAACTGACAGCAAGGTAGATAATTCTCTCTACAGAAAACAATGTAATATATTATTTGATAGATTAAAACTTTGGCTTTCCATAGGTTGTAAATAATATAGTATTAAGCATTAGAGAGAACTATTGGCAATTTGTGAAAGAAAGGATGTGACAGATGAGTGTGGGACAAGGGGTCTGATTTTCTATTTTATGGCCCTGTAACCAAATAAGATTTAAGGCTGTAAAAATTATGCTTTGCCTCAGTAACAACAATATTATAGTGAGTAATTTATATTAATTTCCATACTTTTCAGAGGGGTGCTAAATAGATTAAAGAGGAGGCACCTAGAGAGTAAATGTGACAATTCTCATACTAGGGTGAGATAGAAGATTTTTTTAAATATTTCCTTACAAAATTATACACTCTCATTTTTTCTTTGTAATAACTTTATTGCTAAAAACTGATGATCCAGTGTCTCAGAAAACCCACTAAGCCAAACATAAATACAGTTCTGTATCATATTTATGGAAACACACAAATTTATAGAATATACTAAGGTATCTAGTGACAATTTTTTATTAAGTTGGTTTCAAATCCCATGCATCCATTAGGCTTTTATAGCTCAGTTTATAAAGTTTGCTATGAAAAGGCTGAATTTTATGTTTAAGATACTGTAAAATCATAATTGATCTTATGTGACAATTTTGATAAACTTTTAACAGTGTGTCTTATACATGCAGTTGTCAAAGCATCCTATAAACTGACTTGAAGTCATACAGGATTTTAGTGTTGTATAAATACTGATGACATTAAACTAATAGATATCCTATAGCATTTCAATTGTACTATATGACTAATTTTCCAAACCTGGAGGGTATAATGATGCCCTTCACATATCCTATAAGATACTATTCAGTCCTTCAGGATTTTATAGGACTCTTATAGAATATTTTTATAATGATAAGAGCTTGCCAAATTTTATGAAGATACATTTACTACATTAAAAGTTATGTGTAGAAGTTTCATGATCACAAAATGACTGAACTCGTATGATTTAGTAACTGTTATTAAAAAATAAGAGCATACTGCATTATCTTATGCATTTAAATTTCACGTCATGGGAGAGTAATTTTGTTTTATAGTAATTTCCTAAAAATACAATATAAAAATTATAGCATATGCTTAGTGTGTAAGCATATCTCATGATTACCACTGTATCCAGGCATGTTGTCAAAAAAATTTGTGAGATAGTGAATTCAATTTTTTTTTGGTTATGATTTTGTTCATAGTTATTTTATTATTCCTTCTGTCCTTTAGTTTATCTATGAATTTTTAGTTACATTAAAAGACTAACTCACCTTCAATGTGATCATGTTTATTTTGAGTAAATATGAATGTATTATGAAACTAACACCAGCTTCCTTAGGGGTGATGT